ATGCATGAGAATGTGTGGCATTTGTAGATTAGACACTACCGATACGCGTGCCAAGAACAGGTTCTCTAGGATAAAAGCTGAAATCCTGTGGAGTAATTCTGTGTATGTGCGCAAGTGTGCATGCGCCTGATTGCACATTAGTTGTACGATGCTCATTCATTTGAGAGTTCACATCATTAACCCCATTTACACATCTATGAACTCTGGAAATGAACAGCCTCACCTGAGAACAGCCAATACGAAGAACCTTTTTTTCAGATTGTGTTTTGGTTTTTCAGCATCTTATAACCCTCTATTTCTGCTCTATTTTTTTGCACGCCTGTCTCATCTGACGATACCTCTTTATTCTTCTTTTCTTGTTCCATTAGGACCAGTCAGAGTTGTGTGCACATCATCGTGGCCCAGACGAAGAGTGCCAAGGGTTTGGGCTTCACACTGGATCAGAGCAGCTGTGTCTTCTCTAGCATCCCTGAGCTGGTCCACCGCTACTGCACACACAGACTGCCTTTCACTGGAGCAGAGCACATGACCCTACAGCATCCCGTACCCCGGCCACACTGAACATGCGTCAAGGAAAAGCAAACACACTGGGATATGAATACACATGCGCAGACAAAAGCAGAGATATATACACAGACTCACGTAAACTTGTTTATACATGAGTTCACACACTCAAAGATATGCTGCTTTGGATTGTACTAATATGTTTATATGTTTGTATCTCCTCCATGTGCTACTTAGTAGTCACAATCATATATTACAATGATCATTGATCACATTGTCTAAGTGGCAATTGTTTCCTGCCTAAAAGCCCCATTGAATGAATTTATAGTTAGAGGAAAACCAGCCCTTCTACTGCTTAGTGTATTTTTCTTGTCAAAACTAAGTATCCGGAAAACATTGATTTCTATCTTTACCTGGAAAAATGCACTCACTGTAACCATTCAGAGGTTCGTAACCTGTCCTTTCACAGAGGTGATGACATTGATTAGTGACATGCCTTCCTGTTAGGCTTGATTTGAGATCAATACACCTGATTGGAGTATATTCATTCATCCATCTGACATGTCAATCAGCCTATTGATCTGTACTGAAAATCAGGCTCATTTACCAACCACTCTGTCTGTCAAGATACTGAGATACATTGATTAGGCGTTTAGAACTAGTGAAGTGGGAGGGTCTTATATCATTACAGTACCCAGTCAGCAAAATGGTTTGTTTATGTAAATGTACAAAATAAATTGCTGACTATATTGTTCATTTACGTGCCTTCACTGTAATCTAAATGAGGTTGTGATCAAAAGCTACCTTATTGTGAATGAATTTAAAATGTTGCCATAAAATATCTATGCATAAATGGTGTATGTGTGAAGTGACTGTTGGAGATTTCTTTTTTACATGGACCACACAATGATGTGGGCTGTATTTTATTGTGGTAAGACTTTTATGCAGAAATAAAATACAACTGATATTAACTGTGTACTAAGAGTGTTATTATTAGACATGCCGGCAGCAAAAGTCAAAGCAGGGTTCAAGAAAAATAAGCGCAGACACGGAGATGAGAAGTGAATCCGTGTGCTTTTCTCTTGTAGCTGTAAAACCATTGACCTGAGCGTGAAATCAATTACAGTTACACGCATGCAAGCTCATGCATGTGCTCACACTCACCTCACCAACAAGGACCTACTGCCGTGAGCAAACACATCATCTACACGTTCAAAATGCACACATGAATAGTGTTCACACAAATAGCATTTACCCACACAACCGGTAAGGTGGTGTATTTAAATCCTCTCGCCAACACACACACACAAACAGACACATGGAGCTTCTCACAAAACACAGAGCAGCTTAAACCTCACAATGATGCATGAGAGAGTGTGTTTGTGGTAAGATATGTCTAACCAGTAAACACCAGTGTGATGGTTTGCATGGGGATCTCTTAAAGTGTGTGTGTGTGCGTGTGTGTGTTGTGCGTTCAAGCGATAACATGCCCACGTGTGCAACCATGTGTGCATTATTGTGTGTGTGTGCATGCAGGCCTGTTGTGTGTGTGTGTGTGTGTGTGTGTGAGAGCGCGAGAGAGGAGAGAGAGAGAGAAAGAGAGAGAGGGAGTCAGAATTGTTCTGTTCAGGGATTACCAGGTTGCCATGGTGATTAGTTAGAGTGAGGTAGGGCCATCTCTACAGGGAAGGAGGAGAGGGAGGAGAGAGGAAGAGAAAGAGGGAGGAGAGACAGGCTGCCATATAAAAAGAGCTATGAATAACCGTAGCCATAGTAGCAATGTTCGGAAGCTCCCCCACAGAATAGCCTGCTCGCTTTGTGAATGGAGAGAAGCAACATGTAAGTAAGTGAGTAAGTAAAAAGTGATTCACTCCTCCGTCAGCTCACAAAACTGACATTGACGCACTCCATCAATCGTATACAACACATACACCTCATCAGAGGGTCAAACAGAAGGGTCCACTGCAGAACTTATGTGTCACTTCAGCAAGAAGGAGGCTAACTTCAGGGTGAACCGAGGCTTTCCGCTTGAGTAGTTCACTCTCATATTGGCCATCCTGCTGCACCCAGTGTGTCACCAATGGCAATGTTACACAACAACTGACACCGCTAACTATGACCCTTTCTCCCATCCATGAGATCTGTTGGGGTTAGTCCTCTATCTTCTCTTGATTAAATCACAAACTAGGTCAAAACAAACAAGATGCCTGGGGTGTTGGACATATGATTCCTGCAGAGCTTGTCAGTCTGTTTTTGGGAATGGTCCCAACTAAGTAGCCTACATTCCTAAATGCTTGTCTGAGATTCTAGGTCTTGTACATCATCACTGTCCAGTAAAAAACATCCATCTTTTGGTTAAGTATTTTTTTATATGAAGAACTACATGTTCCTTGTTTGGCTGAGAAAGTTATCCTACTTCTTAAGCTCAATAAAAGATTAAAAAAAACAATATGGAGTAAACTGACCGTCACATAGGGACATGTTTCATAACTCATAAAAGAGTTGACCATTGGGAGATACATGGTTTTTACAGGACAAGAAAGATATGCATACTTTCTGTACTGCACACTGAGTTTATAATGTATCAGTGGTACCAAAAGTATTCTTATTTTTTAAATATGGCAATCCCAAAATATACAAATACAAATGTAAGAGCCGGCTTAAAATGACTGCCTTACCAAATCATAGCAACAAATACAGGAAAGTAAAATCAGCATAATGACAAAAATGTTATCTTGTTACTGCAGGATGTTGATGTAGTTGTGTTGAAGCGAATTTAAACTACTTTTTCTACCGCTGGATTGCTTAATCTTTATAATAACATCATATTTTACAAGATGATAATTTTAAAGTATGCCAAAGCTGTTTAGTAAATAGTAAAAAGTACCATTGTTGCCTCTGAAATGTAGTTCAAAGGAAAAAGTGACATAAATAGGACTCTCAAAATGATATATTGTATCTTGCTTGTGGAGATGAAATATGTGAAAAAAACCATTTGTCTTATTCTTATTCATCTGTCCTTGGTCCATAGATCAGATTCCTATGTTGTTAATCAAAGTGTGTCCCAGATATGACAGAAGCGCAGGAAGTAACTGAAGCACCAAAAGACAGAATGACAGCATGCGAGGAAGGGACAGAGGAGAGAGGAGAGAGAGGCGGGGAGGAGGGAGAGCGTGAGGGGGTGTTAGGGGAAGACAAGCACTCGTGGGGGTCCCAGCTTTTAAATAATTCAGAGAGACTCACAGCACTCAGTGCAGAGGAGTAGCACTGTCAGGTCAGCTCATTCACTGCAGAGGAGAGGGAGAGAGGGAGAGGAGAGGACTGTACAGAGAGAGAGAGGAAGAGTGTATAAAGATAGAATGAGGAGAGGAAGACATGACTGTGGGAGAGTTTGCCTGCATGTGTGTGCATGCATATCTACAGGCCATCTGCGCATGTGTATCCTTTGTGTGTGAAAATACACAAAATGAAGGAGAACAGGTTGTTTCCTCCTGGAGCTTTTGGGTTTCTCTTAGTCACCACGGTAACCGCCTCCTCCCTACATCCTGCACTCCTTTGCTTAGTTCACTCTTCCCCCATCCATGCCTCCCACGCTCTTTTGACTCCTCCTGCTGTACCCCTCTTCATTTGCTGCATTCCCTCCGCCCCTCATCATTCAAATCACTTGTTTATTTATGTTGTTATCATCAGGCTCCTGACTCTCAGTCTTGCCGGTAAGCATGCTGCAAAATCTAGAGCAAGAGGAAATATTGTAATCCCACTTTATGGATACCTTCCCTCTTAACTCCTCCCCCCCCCCCTGCAGGTTTGACTTTGTGATTGGGGACTAGAGGTCACCACAGTCGGCTAGAGGGAAAGAACCAAAATAAAACTTTTAATAAAAGATAAGCAACAGGATGCAAAAATAGAAAGATCTCATATGAGAAGGCAAGAGTATACCACGCAGGTTTTAAAGGGTGAAGATTATTCACAGAAACATTACTACATTATAGGCTCAGGCAGTCCTGGAAATAAAAGGTGTTATAAGGTTATTTAATGAGTGGAAACTAGAGCAGAGAGACTCACACCTTAGCGAGAGATAGATTGTTCGACTATAAAACTTTTTTTTAAACTATGACTATCTGTAATCTATTTTCTTATGGCTCCTTACTGAAAAATACATTTTTTAAGATTTAAAAATACCACCAGACTGTCACAACCATTTCGGCCTGGGGCTAATATTAAAGATAAAGCAGATAGGGACGAGAGATGCCATTAAGTTTGACAAGGTCACTATTGAGCACCACAAACCCTGTACGTGCCTAAGAGCACTGAATATTAAATGGTGATGTGTGACTTTGCGAGGGGAAGACACTGGCATCGCTAGCTGAGCTGAGGAGCATCAGAGGTATGCCACATCCTCCCCTCCCTCCCTCCTCCTCCTCCCCCTTTCTCCTCCACCACCACCCTGCCCCCGCCTGTCGGAGCGTTCAGCAGCGGACAGCAGCACCGCACGAGCCAGCGCACAGCTCACCTGGCCCCGCAGAGGTATTTCTATTTCCCCCCTCTTTTTCCCGGCGAAGAAGTGCTGACCGATGGAGAGCCCTGACGTCACCATGCCAGGTAGAGAGTGAAAGGGGGGCTTTGGGTCGTGAGGAGGAGGGAGTATCACTGCGGGTGTGTTGGGGTGGCCTCTCCATCGCGGTGAACACCTTTCGGGCTCGGACGCACGCACGATGATGGACGCCTGGCTGCTGCTGCTGGCTCTCCTCGCCATTGCTGGAGGTGAGTAACTTGTCCGTCTAATGGCTCCATCGATGCGCCTTTGTGTTCATCGTCACCTTTCAAGGGCCAAAAGCACCGCGCGTTCGTGCTTTCAGGAGGTCTGGAATAGGTTTCTTCAAAGTAACGAGGGAGTGAGCGTGAAAACAAAAGGAGTGGTTAGATCTTGAGGAGAGGCAGACGTGGAGAAAATGACTCTTTCATTGCTGTGTCACCATTTTTCTCATCAGCGAGCGCGACGGAATGATATAAATATTGCCCACTCTATATATCACATGCGCAAACTGAACAAACATTAGCAACTGCATGAGCTCACATGATTATCCGTTTACAACCTGAAATAAATCTTTTTCATTTAGGGTAGCTGTTTATATAGAGGCCTTACTTTATAAAGTAACATCATGTGGTTATAATTGGATGGACTAGGTAGTATTGCTATATGTATTTTGAGGATACATTGCACTTTGCCAACAAAAAACAACAATATGGCTAATTCTGAGGGTATTTTAAAGCATTTACATTGTTTTGCTGCTAATAGGCTGAGCATTAATTAAAAATAGCGTGCACAGCAGGTATAGAAGGCTTTGTGAATATAAGCATGACATTTACAATACATTAACTCAAAAAAAGACCAATCCACTATTGCACCAGCTATCCTTTCCATTCTAAATATACATTAGAGACAGAGAGAGAGGTGGGGGAGAAATTATGTTATCATCCACGTACTCCCCTCCTCTCTCTCTCTCTCTCATTAACACTGAGGTCCTGCATTGAGTGGGCAGGTTAATGAAACTTCTACATCCTGTCATCAGAGGACAGATGATGTGTCAATCAGCAGAGCGTGCAGATAAATTATCTTTCTGTCTTTGTGGAGGACATGCACTGAGGAGATGAGCCTTATTTACAACATTGTTGTTGTTGCGTTGCATTCGGAGCAAATGAGGTATGCGTTAAGTCATTAGGGTGCTCAGACATATGTTACCTCCGTAAGTTGGCTCTAATTTGTTGTTAATTTCTGCTCAGTGAGTGTTTGCTCGTAGCAGAGTGGAAAACACATCAGCTGATTGGTTGAATTACGGCTGCCTTCATATTTTTAGCCAATCCATAGTAGTGACAGGGCAGAGGCCAGCTCAGTGCCTCCAAGGGGAAATACTGTTTGTTACTGGCTGTGTAGCAGCACACATAACCACACACTAACACACCTTCACACACACACACACACACACACACACACACACACACACACACACACACACACACACACACACACACACACACACACACACACACACACACACACACACACGCACGCGCGCCTGGCCATCTGCCTTGCACTGACTAACTGTTCATCATCACCCATGGCGACAACATGCTCCTGCTTTCTCTGCAGCACATATACATAATCGTCACCAACACACACACACACACAAACACACACACACAAACACACACAGCCAGAAAGTGGGCTTTGCACCACTCACGGTCATCACAATACATCCAGAGGAGTATTCACAATGGCAGCATACAGTAAAAAAACACTTTCACCTGCAGTCAATCTGCCATTTATTAGTTCAGAGTGGAGTTTGATTTTTGTCATAATGACATAACTTTTGATTAAATTACACTTTTCAAAAACACACAGTGTTTTACAGGTAAACAAACAAATATAATTGTACACATATACTGGTTATGTGCTAGAACATTACATGAGCAAACTCTAATTTTAATATAATACTTAAGTTAATGTTGGATTTTGTTGATGATTGTCGTACAAAAAGACAACATGTTTATAGATATAAAAGCCTTCTAATAATAACTTAAAAGAGTGCATACCACATATCAAATATATAAATTGTACTGGAGTAATTTTAGATCTCTTTAAAAAGGATTTAACCAAACAGAATATTGTCACAAATATAACCCAAACTTCAAATAGAGCAAACTAATAGGACAATAAGGTGTCTTGTTATTAAGCTGCTGTAAACTTGCTTCACAATATCCAGTTCCCCCGAGCACTATGTTTTGTTGGTTGATCATTCTTTGAGTTCAAACAAGAATGCTGTAGAAAACGGTACCAACATGAAATATCACTCTTATGAGCTCCATAAACTGTGGAGTACTAATGAGTCATCTCTCCTTAAGGGAGAAAATCTGATTAGCATCAGCCTCAGAGACTGTAAACTCAATCCACACGCAAACAAATGTTTGAAGAAATGAGCACATGGTCGCACACCTGGGCTAACTTACAGAGGTTCCATACAGAGACGCTACAAAACACATAATCTTAAACCTGTATGCACACAGACTCAGATTCAAGTCTTTTCCCTCACAGTAGTGGTGATGGAATGAGAAAAAACCCTACTTTGACTGTTTATACTTTCTTACATAAGACTGTAACATACACAGACATGCACACAAAAGCAGTCTCGCATTTGTTGGCTGTGCAAGGGCGCTCAAGGACATTTCACCACCTGTCTCAGATGCTGCCGCAAGGATGTGGCCATCCTGCTGTGTGAGGGGGATGTCTCCTGTCATTTCCCCTGCAGGCCATGCATAATAAACAGGTCTGTGGTGCTGAGTTGACCTGATGCAGGGGTTACTGGATATGGAGCACAGTGTGCGAGAGTCTCATCACCCAAGGACGTAAAAATGTGCTTGGATTAGTTTTACAGCACCACTTTTATCAGCTGCATCTTAAAACAGATGTATTTGACGCACAGCCAAGTCATCCTCGTTGCTTTAGTGACTGTGTGTGTGCATGCAAGTGCCATAATCTTTTTTCTCTGCTTTATGAATGCACTTAGTGAATATCAACTAACCATTTCCTTGGCAGTGCTACAGTCTAGAAAGTTCGCCTCACTCAGTTTAGCCTGTCATCACTTTTCTGCTGCACTGTTCAAGCCCACTGATCTCTGCAGCATCTCAACCTGCACATTACAACCACCCTCCTATTGTCTCTCTCTCTCACTCTGTCACTTTCTGCCTTTATCTCGCTCTCTCATTTCCTCTGTCTCTATCTCTTTGGCCTGACTCCCAGCACACAGCAGCAACAGGATCAGATCAGTGGATAGGGGCTGCATCTGTGATAAGAAATGCACAGCAGTCACACAACAGAGGCCTTCATTTGTATGTGAGAACGTGTGTGTGATCCCATGTGTAAAACTGTGTGATTTGTGCAAGATTGTGTGAGTGTTTGTGTGTGTTTGTGTGAATGAATTTGCAGCGGTAGTAGCAGCACACAGCAGTGTGTGGCCCTGGAGATTAAACAGAAGCAGAAGGAGAGCACCAAGGTTTAATAGAAACTTAAGTAGTGGAGAAAGAGAAGATAAGAGTCACTTGGAATGTCAAGAGTTTTAATTTCAAGAAAAAGGTTGACTTACTCCCAGGCAAGTTATGTTGCTGTGATGCCAGAATGTGTAGACGTGTATCCAAAGTAGACTTCAAAAAAATATCTAAAATAACTCGTGCCTGGAAAAGTGCACTAAAACTAGACAAATATATGCTTATTAACAGTAAATCCTTTGTAGACTGCACAAAAAGGTACGCATAAGACACAAATACACATATGGTCTATAGTCTCTACTGTTCCATCTCTGTATGTGGGCAAATAGTTTTTGGCTCCGACCTGGTGATAACATAGCCTCAAGACTTATAGACATCCAAAAAAGGCTTAGGTAACATCAGTTATAAAAGGCATTAAGCAGTTCAGATGATGTATTGCAATCCCTGAAATATGCACCACTTTAGAAAGCTATACCGTCTGTCATCTGACAGCTGAGCTCCTTTGGCTGTAAATAATATAAATGAACCAAATAGCATATCACCTGTACAAGGGTTGCATAGCATAGAGTGTTTTAACTGTAGATTATTTAGTAGTCTAAACCAGTGGTTCTCAACTGGTCCATAGTGGGTTGTGGACCTGTTTCGAGTGGGTCGCAGATGTGTGAGTGAAGAAAAGAAAAAGTAAAACTTTTATTTTGAAGGCCCGATTTTCTAACGCTGTGCATGCAGTAGGCGTTGGAGTGGAAGTACCGGAGACCATAAACGGTTTTGAAAACTTTTGTCACGTAGTGATCATCTTCTTAATAAAACATCTTTGCTGATGTTTTTTCGAGTCTTCTGGCCAATCAGAATCAAGATTGTTGCCGGAGAATAACTTTGCGGTAGAACTATTCTTTATACATCCATAGGTACAACTTCAGATACAAATGAACACATAATGAGATATGACCCCCGGTTTGATGATTGACAGGTCACAGAACAATGGGAGCTATCTACCCTTACCCACAATTTAAAGTAATTCACACGGACTCTCTCCTCTTTGCTCTTCTCTCTGTGTGGAGCAGCAAGTTCAGCTGTCAGAACAAAGTGAAAAACAAACAATGGCATACAATATTATTAATATAGTATTTATTTATTTTCTTCTCAGAGTGTAACAGAATGCTTAGTTTATATGTTAGTATTTCTAAAAATCTCCTGGGGGACAATCCCCCCAGACCCCCATGCTGGGGTTGGGTTTTCAGCATGTCATGTTTTTCACGTGTGGTGAATTTGCAGGATTGGCTCCAAGTCTGCCTTTTTATTTTAAAAGCATTCTTTAGTTCTGTGAAGGAGGGATAGTCTATAAGGGATATATGCACTGTACTTCACTTTAATTAATATTGTATGCTGAAAAGCGTATATATTACAGCACGATTTTTTGTTGAATAGATTTTAGTGGTTCAAAATTTCGGGTCGCGATTTATTGACCAAGGAAAAGGTGGGTCCCGAGGCCTGACCAGTTGAGAACCACTGCTCTAAACCACTTGCAAAAGCTATGATGCAATTTGTTCTGCACTAAAACATAAGAAAAAATACTTATATGAAAACATTGAGATTTTTGAATAGAGTTAGAAAATAGCCTTTGTAGGTTAAATCTAAAATGTATCTAATTCTATCGTTGGATCAACCCTTGGCACAATAGTATGGATCTTTGATAATTTGCATTAAAAAGGTCTCAGTGTAGTTGTTTGACACTAGTTAGCATAACATAATGATTAAGGGTCACAAAGTCAAAATAGAGATCGATCTGGGCCTTCAATTTTCATCAGGAATGAAAAAGCAGCTAATGCGATTCACCTAGCATGTTATTGATCTCCACCCCTGCCTAATTGCGCATGCCCGATGTAAAAAGCAGATATAAGCAAACAGAAACAACAACACTACAACTACAACACAGCTAGCTTACCGGTTAAAGGCCTCCTGCTTCCCGGATGTCACCGGTGTGGCAAAAACACATGGCAGAAACGTGAGTCAGGTAAACAACTAACGCGTCATTGACAGGAAACCTAGTTTGTAGGCTGCAGAAGTTTTAGTTTTCGCGGCAACGCTGAGCAAAGTGTTTTGAGAATGATGATTATTTGCTACTACTCTCCACTTAAAGCTGATAGCACGTCTAAATCGCTTTGTACGGTCAACTTGTGGGACACAACATGATGCATTCAGGTGTAGCCTACCTCGTAAACTTAAAACGTCTTGATAGGCTGTCCTTCTTCCATCTTGTGGCTCATATTTATTTTTCAACGTTTTTTGTGAAATAGGCTATTGTTAGTTCATATTCAATGTGGTACATTCCACAAAAATATGTTTTTTTCACTTTTCAAAAGAATAATTTAAAGGTGGGGTAGGTAAGTTTGAGAAACCGGCTCGAGATACACTTTTTGTTATATTCCATGGAATGCTCTTAACATCCCGATAGCAATGAATATCTTAAGTGCTTTGACAAAAAATCCATAAAGAAATGTCATCTGTGGAAGCCGTAATACTGTAAAAAGCACGACCAATCATTTTAGCCGGCCCGCTTAAAATAACTGGATGGCCTACCTGCCTGTCAGCCTTCCATCTGTGCACAAACTTATCTCGTGCCCTCATTGGTCATGTGCGTGTTCGTGTGTGTTGGAGGAGGGGCTCTGTAAGGAAGTAGCAGATTTCTTCCGGCTGTGTATTTTCAAATTCTAGCGCACTCGAGCTGGTTTCTCCAAAATTACCTACCCCACCTTTAAGTAATGTAAATGAAAGTTGAGCCATTTGATAACATTTGTATTAGACTACTGAATGGTCAACAATGACTTTTTTTTTATCAACTAATACATTAATACACTTGTTTCAGCTCCAACATTTCTCTAAAAAATGATTGTATTTGTGGAATCAGGCTTTTAACCTATAAAATATAGTGATGGAAGAATCTATCTGCATTTCATTTCTTTAAATACAACATCAAATCTGACTTTATATACAGTAAGGATTTTGTGATAAAGTTTATATGGGTATCAGTAACTGATATTATTGAAAGGATAGTAGATGTGTACAAATAATTGGTTAGGGGCATTGTTGTAAAATGTCCATTATTAGCAACTCAAAAAGTACAACTAATTCAGCCACATTTTGACAGACTGAAGCTTGTCGAATCTGGCGACAATAAAGCTTCTTCTGGCCTCAGTTAGTTCACAGTAGGATGGCTTTGTCTTTGCAGTGCTCTGATATTGCGGCTGGAGGAAGGATCAATATTAATATCTCAGTTATATGGGCACTACAGAGCCAATTGTGTGTTGCCAGGCGATCAATTGATCTCTCCATTATTGATTTAAGAATATTTCAGCATGAAAGGTCCCATCTGCAGCCAAAAAGCCTTTTTGGCAGAGCGCAGACCAGAAAGGGACCCTACTATCGCTCTAACCTTTTCTCATTTGAGTGAGCTGTATAAATAGAGATCATCGCTGTAATAGTCTTAGCTGGATTATTCAATTTAGCTCTCGCTTCGCCCTCATTTTCTCCACATTTGTCTTTACAGCGTGTGCGGACTCTGGCTAAGTAGCTCTGTAAATCAATGTGCTGTTTAATGTAACGATTGATGATTTGATATGATTTTGCAGCACTCCTCCAGAAACTAGGAATAACACGTACACATTTTTCAAAGGTCGATCAGCACACTAAGATCAATGACTGTAAAAGCGATCAGACTCTGAGCGTGGTTACCATCTCGTCTGCTCCTGCTCTGTGTGGTATGTGCGTGGTGGTGTGTAACTTCTGTCGCTCCAGGGTCTAATGGGGAGCCCTGCTGAAATATTCATAGTGTCACATTAAGTTTGCAATATTTGCACTGGAAAACCACCAGAATACAACCTGAGCTACCAGCAACATTACAACCTCTCATCTCAGCCTTTAGCATGGCAGCGTGTCGTATGTGGAGACGGAGAAAGATCAGTCTGTGTTTAGAAGCATCAGTGAGGGCTGAGGATGAACACCAACATGTTCGTGCAGTGATCAGACTAGAGTGTGTGCTTATTTTTATCAGTGTTGTTGAGATAAGAATAAACCAGAAAAGCTCTCTCTTTTAGTCTCTAATTTGTCTCAGTGTCGTAAAATATTAGTCTAGACTTTCATCCTGAGCCCATGCATGCAAATACTTTATAGGAAATTAAGCCGAAAGTATGAGGAGATTGCATTTGTTAACCAAGACTGCGTCAACAGTCATGTGGTGGGATTCAAATTCCAGTCTTTTATTCTAGTAAAGGCAGGAGTTGATGCAGTAACATTGAGACTATTCAAACATTTGAACAGCCTTGGTCACAATGTTAACACCTTCTAAGAATATATATAAATATATTTGTAGCTATTAAAAATCAAACAATTGTTCGTTGGCCTGTAGAAATGTATAGTCACGTTTTGCACGAATGCTGAAATGAATGCTGTGTTTCAAAGAACAAAAACTGAATATCAATTTGACAATTGGGCAATACTTTTCAACATTTCATATAATCGTTTTGAGTATGAAACTTCCATTTACATTATGAGTATGGCAGTTGTAGGCCATTTCTGCTTCATCATTGTTGAAGTGAACTGTATTAGCTTTCTGTCTCTGTGTTATTGCCTTGGGTTTCTGGGAATAATATACATTACTCATATGGTTCAGGCACAGACAGTAGTGTTTATTTCCCTCATGAATATCTGCACACAAAAAGACACACACATATGAATAAAAGTAACTGGCGCCTGTGCACAATAAACAACCAGAGTGCTACACACACGTGCTGACAGGATGTGTATTGATGATGGTGGATTAGTGCGAGAAGGGGCAATAAATGGACAGTGGCTGTCAGCGACACGGAGATGGAGATAACAGGAGGGAGGAGAGCGAGGGAGACAGTCAGGGGAGTGAGAAGAAAATACGTTTTTGCTCGGATGATGGAGAGACAGAGACGATGTAAAAGCAAACGAGACGGAAAAGATGGGACAGAGGAAGGAATTGGAGATTAGAAAAAAAAGGGGGGGGGGGGGGAGCGAGAAATTGCGTTTTTAGTTTACGGGGCATGGATAGAGTCATCATTGATCCAGAGACAGAGGCTATCATTCCTGCTCAGTGAACACAGCAGTGCTACAGGGCCAGAGGGGGGGGGGGGGGGGGGGGGGGGGGTTGGCGGGTTGGCGGGTGTCACAGGAGCTCAGAAACACATTCAGAGGGAAAAGGTGAAAAACAGGAAAGATAGTTGAGCATGTTTAAAGTTTTTCATTTCAAATTTAAAGGGCTATTCCATATTTTTACATCATTATGGCATCAAATCCTTAGTTTTTTTTATTTCAAAATCTTCATGTTCTTTTTTGATTATATTAATAATCAATTTCTTATTTGGTCATTTGTAAATACTAATCAGAATTTCCAAAAGCCTTAGATAATGTGTTATAATTGCTTGTTTAGTCCAAACCCAATTATATATAAATTATAAATAATAATGTTACCATTGTATACAATAGAATAAATTAGCATTTTCTTTGGTGTACCAATTGTTAATATAGACAATTAAGTGTTCTTTTTGTGCATATTATGCATATAATAGAGGTAAATAAAGGTTAAGAAGGAGTTGTCTAGGATCTGTTTAGGTCTTTGTATTTTATTCTATATTATGTGTTCCCTTTTCCCCTTTTGAATTGTTTTTTTTCTTTTCTGTTATAGTCTTTGTTTGTGTTTGAATTGTCTGAATTGTGAAATTGTGAACATCAAAATAACTGTGTTAATCTTACTCACATTCGCTTTTACTTGTTTGTTTTCCCGCCCCGTTAATAGCCTCTAAAATAGCAAGTTTAAACATGACATCCTTGGTACCAAGTTAACAGCCTGTGTTTGTCTTCAGGGGCAACGTGTGAGGGAATTGTGAAAAGGGAAAGAGGCAGCTGAGCAGCGAGCAGATGCCAGAGAGGCAGGGAGTGAGTAGCGGAGAGAGAGGCAGGAAGGAGGAGGTGCAGAACAGTTGTTTTTCTCCATGCGTCGTGTCTCTCAGTGAAACACCTCCCCTCCTGTGTGCTGTTGTGACAGCTCTGCCTGAACCCAACCACTCACACTGATACAGTCTGCTACAGAAGGAGGACAGGGGGAGGGACGGAGGGGGGAAGACAGGGGAAGGGAAGTGAGAGATGAAGTGAAAATAACCCAAAGCTACAAAAGACTGGCAGTTGGAAAGAAGTGTAACACAGCAGAGGAGAATAAAAACAGACAGGGCAGAAGCACGAAGAGAGCGATAAAGACAGAAACGATAGCGATAGAGACATTCAGACTGGTTGACTCATTCTTATGATGTCACATCTTGTAAGAAGTGTGTATCGAGCTGTGCTGATGTGCTCCAGGCGGCAGTGATGAGTAATGCCATGGTACAAAGGCTTTGCATTCTCCATACACATGGATAGCCAGCTCTCAATGCCTGCAGTGGCCAAACACAGGAACCCAACAGCAACACTGATTCCCTGCTTGTTATACTATGTATCCAACACGATAAAAAGTATCTTGCCAAGTGCCAAGAGAGACACAGATGGCTGCACAACTGTTGACTCATGATAGAGGCAGATGATGATCATGTGTTCTCATTACAGGAGGCCTGGGGGCAGACACAGAGGAGCGCTTGGTGGAGCATCTCCTAAACCCGGCCCACTACAACAAACTGATCCGTCCTGCCACTAATGGCTCCGAGCTGGTTACCGTGCAGCTGATGGTGTCGCTGGCCCAGCTCATCAGCGTGGTGAGTGTGCACGTTACACACACCCAAACACAAACTGTGTGCACCTTTCACAGCAGTCCAGGATGTTACTCATCATTTTTCATTTTGGTTACATGAAAGATGCAGAACTCCGAATGATGTTTTGTAGATGGTGTTTGTTAGGGGCAAGCACTGCACTACACACTGCATGTGGTTCATGCTGGATCATTTTACTTAAACTGATGGTTTGTATTTGTGTCTCGTGGTTCAAGAATTAGGTTGTCTAATGATGGAACTCTAAGGAAACATCGAGTCAGTGTGATAATGGCATTCTGAGAATATATTTTATAATGACAGGAAAACAACCAGTTGTGGAAGAAGTATTTCGATCTTATACACAAGTAGCAATACAAAACATATACATAATCTTACGAGTAACAACCCTATTTAGTGATGTCATTATTGGGATTGAAGTTCTTTTTGCAGAAAGTTTTATAAACTGGGGATCAGGAGTTAGGAATAGATAGGCGATTATCAAGCAATATAGAGACCCTTTAAGCTGGTATTTTGCATACTTGTCTCAACCTATATTGACTTAAGGTCACGATACCTCGGCTTTGCTAAAAACAAGTTGATTCCTTTTTTTATTTTACGCACGTCCTGTATCATTGTATCTTTTCGGAAGTGCTGAATCAGTGACGTACCCATTTGATACATTTTGTAATGTATATTTCTTCTCTTTCTGCAGCATGAACGAGAGCAGGTGATGACCACCAATGTCTGGCTCACACAGGTGAGACTTCCCACTCTTCTCTTCATCTTGCAATAATGTCCTTATAAAGTAAACACCGTGCTATAAAGAGGGAAAATACCCTATAGCAGATAGAAAATGAAATTGTAGGCCTTGTCATGGTAATGTAGGGCCACCGTTCTAGGGGAGAAACCAGAATAAAGATGGCTGAATAAGCAAACATGTATCATGTCGGTCACTGACTAATAGTCCGTATCAAAAAGACAGAGCCATGCATTAAATATTTGATTTTTCGATGCTAGACCTTAAATATCACAGTTTTACTGCCAGGTCAGAGGAAGTTCATCACACACCACAAGGGATGCGGATGGTGTTTGGACTAATATTCCCTTTCTAATATAACAAAAGTTAGCATGTTGATTTACATTATATAATCATAGACCACAGTGTTATAGCACCAGTAGACCATAGCAAATGAGAAGTGGTACAGTTGCTGGAGGGGACAGATGCACCCCCCACTCTATATGTTTCACTGTTTGTGGATGTGCAGCGTCTAATCCTGTTCCCCTCGTGTGTAGCAGCAGCTAGTGTCCGATAGTGGCAGAGGCATCTAACAAAACACCTCCTCCAAAAACCTGACGTGAGAAATATCAGAAGTTATTATGACCACATGAGCAAAAAAACTCAACACAAATACTGAACCCTTGTTTCTCAGCTGGTGAATTTGACAGTTTATGCTTACCTACCACTGTGAGTAATGTGGCCCTCGTTGAGCTGCTACCCTCTTCTACATGGCTGGCTCTCCTATGCTTACAGCTGAGGCCTGAAACATGGTAAAGCATGTAGGTGTTCACATTTACACACTAGATATACAAATGCATTGACCCACACAACGTCAACATATGTGCTTGCTTTGAGGGCAGGTGCCAGAACATGTTACACAGCCGTGTGTTTAATTTGGGGGTATATTTAGATCTACAGTATATGAACATTTCCCCAAACAGGCATCTGTGTTTATTGTTACCCTTGCGGATCCTGGATTTTAATTTGATTATTTATAGCTTTATGCATTTTTCTGTCATATGTTCATGTACATACACCTGGTCCTAAGTTAGGATTGATGGCATGTAACAGAGCGTAGAATAGCCATCAGTGCTGTATGGTTCCCCCGCTATCTGTAAGCAGGGGAGCCAAGGACAGCTGTCCTAAGCCAAGACAAACGGTAATAACCACAATGCATCACAGTTAGTGCAGATGACCTAGCATGAGCATTAATGCTCCAACATGGCCATAACATATAAGGGCCAGACAAAACAGATGTTGCAGGTCGCAGAGGCTTCAATGTCAATGAGTGACATGCAGCAGACAGAACAAGATAATACTGTGTTTGAAGAAAAGGTTACACAGAGGACGCGGCGATGCCCACACACACACAGGAAAATCCTATGCCATTTTAATCATGCTGATTGGTCTGTGGCTGGATCATTCAGGGTTGGGGTGGGAATAAGTGCTTCAATCTCTCTCTTTGACTTATAGTAAAAAAAGCATGATGTAAGCATGGAGGGACACAGCACAGGATGTTCCCCAGGCTTGTGATGCGTCATATTGACCGACTGACTGACTGACTGACTGACTCAAAGACGAACAAAGGGACCTTCTCCTCTCAATATGTCTCCTGCTGCTGTGTGATAGGTTCATGAGTTATTAAACATTTTGTTTTTATTGGCCCTCAGGAGTGGCAGGACTATCGTCTGACTTGGATCCCTGAGGAGTTTGATGGGATGTTGAAGGTCAGGCTGCCCTCAAAACACATCTGGCTGCCTGACGTTGTGCTCTACAACAAGTGAGTCACTCACTCACCCTTCCTCCATCAATCCTGAAGACACACACAGGCTCGCAGATGCATGCACGCTCATAAAGTAAAGCACATACATTTGACAACTGATCATGTTTTTTAAAGCTAACTCTATGCTGATTTGGTCCAGCTGCCGCCATTGAATGTCACTTCAGATAAGAACATCAATTATTGTATCAATGTGTAATATATGCAGGCCCGCCACACATGACTGAACCTGTCCACTGTCATCTGATCATATCAGTCATGCTACATTACGATACAGTAGCCTACCTCCAGGCCACACTTCAAAGATGGATTTATCTGCACCTACTGTACACAGTCAGATACTTGTTCAGATGCATACATTTAACAACACATAAATAATTAAACATATCTACACATGATCATACTTTTTAAAGTTTTTTGTTTGTTGAAAATGTGTGACATATACTACTGTAGGCTTAGGTATTGGCAAGAATTTGGAAATACAATAATCATCATGATATAGGGGTTTCGATTCAAAATATTGGGATATTAAATATAATTTTTAAAATGCTGTCACGACACAACACCATAGTCCTAAAATCTGAGTAAATTGAATTCCCTTTTTTATGCCATCAGCACAGCAAGCTCAACATTTGCATATATCACAATCAAACATTCAAACACAACAGAAAATGAATCAGTCTGTCACAAGTTTTTACCTGTAAACTTGTTTTCAAAAATACTTTTATTAAATGAATACAGTATCACAAAACATATATCACTTCACTGCATCAGAGTGTGTCAATATTCTTACACTCCTGTTAGAATCATTTGTGGAAATTAATATACACACCAATTGTCTTAAGAATATATCAACTATACATAGGGATATCTAGTTCTGATTAAGTCTATGGCATGTTGCCTGTTTTGCACAGTTGTTAATCTAGTCTTGAGCGTAATTACAATTAGCTTGCATGTCTGAAGCAGATGGATGCAGACCACTTGTCTCAATGAAATGGAAACAGAGTGTCAGCCTACAGTATGTTAATCAGCTTATCAGAGTACAGTGATCTGTTTGGCCTTCTCCTCTTTCCCTGTCCCTGTCCTTACTTTACTAAAGATTAAAAGATCCCCGACCTGCAGACCTCTGGATAAAATGATCCTGTTAATCCCATGAAACCCAGGTCGACACGTTATCTTCCATATCCTCTCACTGCCTGGAACTCCTCTCAGTCCCATTAAAGTAAACAGGACCATTAGCACTCAAACTAGAGGTGCTAATTCCAAAGTCTCAACTAGTTTTTATATCTATATTTGGAGGAAAGTGGATGTTTCTGAGAGTACACTTTGCCAGGTGGGTCTTGTGTTATCAATGAAAAATAATGAATTATGGTTTTGCAAATGTCAAATCTCCCATCATTAATTAGTTCACTTTTCAAATGCTTTAATAAATGGAAACCCTATCTACAGCTTTAATGTTTTCAACCAACTTCTGAGCAAAGTGTCTAATTCGAGCCGTTTTACTCGACCCAGTGTGACCTGTGAGCTGTGTTTCTGTCTAGACTGTGTGTGTGTGTGTGTGTGTGTGTGTGTGTGTGTGTGTGTGTGTGTGTGTGTGTGTGTGTGTGTGTGTGTGTGTGTGTGTGTGTGTGTGTGTGTGTGTGTGTGTGTGTGTGTGTGTGTGTGTGTGTGTGTGTGTGTGTGTGTGTGTGTGTGTGTGTGTGTGTGTGTGTGTGTGTCCTGGAGCTCTTTAATGAACCCGTGTTGCATAATGAGATGCGTGATGTTCCACTGTTCGTAAGACTTAGGGGGAAAAATCTTATTACAGTTTCTTTAAATAGACGTTTTTTTTTATGTCTGACATTACTTTCTTCTGTCTCTCTCCTCTCCATCTTCATCCCTCTCAGTGCTGATGGGGTGTACGAGGTGTCGTTCTACTCTAATGCGGTGGTGTCCCACGATGGCAGTATCTTCTGGTTGCCCCCGGCCATCTACAAATCCGCCTGTAAGATCGAGGTGAAGCACTTCCCCTTCGACCAGCAGAACTGCACGCTGCGCTTCCGCTCCTGGACCTACGACCGCACCGAGATCGATCTGGTGCTGCGAGCTGACGTGGCCAGCATGGACGACTTCACGCCCAGCGGTGAGTGGGACATCATCGCGCTGCCAGGCAGACGAAACGAGAACCCGGCCGACCCCACCTACGTTGACATCACGTACGACTTCATCATTCGCAGGAAGCCCCTTTTTTACACCATCAACCTCATCATCCCGTGCGTGCTCATCACCTCTCTGGCCATCCTGGTGTTCTACCTGCCCTCCGACTGTGGAGAGAAGATGACGCTCTGCATCTCCGTGCTGCTCGCCCTCACTGTGTTCCTGCTGCTGATCTCCAAGATCGTCCCCCCCACTTCTCTAGACGTCCCTCTGGTGGGGAAGTACTTAATGTTCACTATGGTCCTCGTGACTTTCTCTATCGTCACCAGCGTGTGTGTGCTCAATGTGCACCACCGCTCCCCCACCACGCACACCATGCCCCCCTGGGTTAAACTGGTGTTCCTCAACAAGCTCCCTGCTTTGCTCTTCATGCGGCAGCCCAGGAACAGCTGTGAGCGCCAGCGGCTGCGCCAGAGAAGACGGGTCCAGGAGCAGAAGGAGGGGGGGCGCAGTGGGGAAGCAGGGGCCCTGATGGTGGGGCTCGGGCTGGGCAACACTGGGGGGAGCGGAGGGGGGACCTCCACAGGGGTGTTCAGCAAGGAGGACAGTGAGCCTTGTACCTGCTATGTGAACCGGGCGTCTGTTAAACAGTTCGGAGGGGATCTGGGAGGAGCAGGAGGGTCCATGGATGGTCTGAACAGGGTGAGGGAGAGCCGGGAGGGGGGCGCTGGAAACGTGCCCCGGGGGAAGCACGCAGCTGGAGGACCTGCTCTGACTCAGACCCTGCTGGCTCAAGCCTGTCCGGGCTTCGAGGAGGCCGTGGAAGGGGTTCGCTTCATCGCCAACCACATGAGGAGTGAGGATGATGATCAGAGTGTGAGTATCATATTCTGTTTGTTACCATTTACAGCATCACAGTGGTCATCTCTGTTGCCTCGACCAGTACTAGACTAGTAACAATCAGATCAGTGATATAAAGGATCATAACTGTCTTGGCTGAGATTTATTTTTCTTACATATTCAAATTACCCAAGTTAAAGGAGAGATGTCATGGCCATTTCCACTGATCATAATTCCATTGTTGAGGTAAACTAAAATAGATTTATCCTGTGCATTTTTCCAAACTCACATTGGTTCCTCATACAGCATCTCTGTAAACTACGTGTATTCACTGAATTTCACTCTCTGCCTTTAACGGCTCGTTGGAGCTCCAATAGCTCCAGCCCCCACCCTCCCTGTGAGCACAGTGTGCTCTGATTGGTCGGGACGTTGTGAATCGCGCTGAGCTCCGTGGAGGTGTGGTTTCCTTGTTTAGGATACACAGCGAAACACAGCCAAACTCATCCTGAGCACACACAAACTCACAGCCGAAGTAAAAACAATAAGTGTGGCTTGATATTGAGTAAGAAAAAGGTTGCGGGTACGACATCATGCCGTACCCGGAAGAATCAAATGGACAATGACGTATCTCCAACGAGGCGTTTTGGGGAGGTATTTTCTGTGTTAGAGTTTTACTCGCTATCGGGTGTACTTTGAGGGTTTTGACTCTGCACACCGTTTACATGCATAAAAACCTTCATAACACACAAGGGCACCTCTCCTTTAACATTTTAAAGAGTAAAGCTTTACTACAGATACAGTACTAATAAAAGTTAATCAGAATTGACAGTAAATTAAATATAACAGTTGTCTTTAATTCAAGTTTGATTAATTATATGCTCCTCTAATACATTTGATCATACTAAGAATGCACACATGACAATAAGAAACTTGAATTAGTGACTGTTTAATGTAAAAGCTGTTGCTCGTAGTCACAAACACTCAGAGATTTATCACCTGACTGCATTTCTCCTCAGCTTTATATTATTAGCTCACTGGTTTGGTTTTACGGCTCACCACTTTACTGTTCTGGTTCACTTTGCCCACTTCATTGTGACACACAGAAACACAAATACAAATTCAGATGAACTCCTGTTTGGTACCTGCCCAGCAGTGAACAAAGACAGACACGTATTTAGGGTTTTGAGTAAGTATACTGGAGCACATGCTCTGCTGATACATTACCGCTCTACTGTGAGAGCCCTGGACAGACCTGCAATCATTTGTGAGGCAGCTGAAGCACAACAGACAAAACATCCTCATTAACACAGACAGGCACAGTTAGTGATTAGCTGATGAACACAGTGGAGCATTTAGCAGCTAAAGAGACAGATATTCCTGGTTTGTATAAACTAAAACAGAGCTATGATTGAATATTGTACTAAATGTTGTCAGGTAGCCAGAAACAAAAATGCTAATGTGGTGCCATGACTGCTGGATTTGCAAATAAGCAACAGTTAGCTAATACGTTCACTAAATCAATTTTATGATCCAATAATGTCAGCTTTTTGCTCTGTGTCCAAGTTGTCCTAAAAAAGAGCCCTATGAATGTAAGCTTAAATAACTAAACACATTAAAAAAATGTTTAACTAGATTATTTAAGTGAAACACAAAAACACAAAGTGATGGCGAGGCCAATAAATCCTTTATTGCTGTAATTTACAGCTTTGCAATTTCTTGCCAACACACTCTTATACAGATATACCTGCTGTAATAAACAGTTACCAGACTGCTAATGTATCACTTGGGCTGCTCTCCATTTTAAAACAAATATATTATCTTGTCTCTTTGTGGATAAAATCATAGCATAAATGATTCTACTTACATTACAAGCCATTAAAAGCATCATGAGCCGCACAGATTTGTCCTTTCAGGGTATCAAGTTATAGGGACGATAAAGCGGAGCAGCTCTGCCATTTTAAACGCATGGGGGAATACACCAGAGCATAAGCAAAGGAGACAGATCTGATGACGTAATCATATCTCTCTGAATATTCAACACAGACATGTAATTATAGCAGCGGCGGCATGACGTGTGCATAGAGAAGAAGTACAACTGGAGAAGTGCAGGAATGGAGGAACCACAACGGTTTATCTCTTATCCTCAAGACATCTTAGGGGACCAGCCCTGAATGAAAGAAGCCGACATGGGAAATAATAATCCTCCGTTATTCTGTCCGTCATCCACATCGTTACCATCCCGTTGCCATGCGAACTGCTTTATATAAAAACACCTTCTCCTGCCTCAGTTTACCCTCCCCCTCCTCCTCCTCCAAGTCATCATCTCAGGGGTTTGAGTGTCAGCCCCCTTTCTTTCTGCCCTCCATCACTCTCTCAGCTCGGCTCACATTAACCCCTCACCTCCATTAACCCTCTGCATAGGGAGAGACAGGGGGGGGGGGGGGGGAGTTAGAGAGTGAGCGGTGGGTTTCTACTCCTTTTAATCTGTTTCTCCACCCCCTCCTGACCTCTTTTGTTCCTCTGTATCCACAGGTGAGCGAGGACTGGAAGTACGTTGCCATGGTGATTGACCGCCTCTTCCTGTGGATCTTCGTGTTTGTGTGTGTGTTCGGCACGCTGGGCATGTTCACTCAGCCGCTCTACCAGAATTACACAGTCAAGACCATCACCAGCTCGCCAGGCTGACCGTCTGCAGGCCGAGGACACGCCCACCTGACAGCCAGAGGTGGGGCTGGGGGGGCGGGGCTGAGTGGTCTGGGTTTTATTGTGTCTTTTGAACTGAAAAACCAGGACTAGAACTGAACAGCAATCACGCCCATTACCTTTATAGTAACGTTTTTGCAACGAACAAGGAAGACACAATCATACTCTTACCTGCAGTTTTTAGGCCGGATGTTTAATGGACTGACCTCCCTTTTCTGCTGGAAAGGTCCCTCCCTGCTCTCCTCTCCACTCAGTTATGGAGAGAGGATGTACTCCTCGTTGAACCTTACGCCAGCTTATTAACACTTTCTTCTCGAAACTGTCTGCTTATCGACACACGACATGCCCTCCTTCAACTATGACATTACGCATTCTCAACATTGACTGATGTCAGAGGGAGCTAATCAGAAAGGGAAGGATGGTTCATATCAAGGTTCTTAAAGGTTTATTTTCTTTTTTGAAGTCACTACAGAACTGATTCAGTATATTTTACCATAGCATAGCAGATTACCACAGTATAGCATTAGTAATATATTATTACAATTTCTCTATGTGTTAGCTGATGCAAGGGTGAAATGCTGATACAGAGGATAAGGTGTGTTGTATGATTGTATAGATTAAACAAGAATGTGATACAAACTGTACTACACAGCCTGTGGTGCGCACACAAACACAACATGTGTACAAGCAACAGTTTTAGGATAATACAGAGAGGGGACTTTAATTAAAGACAGAGTGAGGTTGCATTATTCAGTGAGAGGATAAAGTAATAGATGCATGGCCAGAGTTATGCACATGAAGTAGAAGACAGCAGGAGCCAGGGAGCCCAGCTGCTATGAGATGAGTTCAGCTGCAGAGAAACTGTGGCCAAGATGGTGGACAGGACCACCTCTATGATGGACAGTGGAGCATGATTTCCCTGAGATGGAGTTTCCCGAGCTCAGTAGAGATGGAGCAAATATCAGTGTTTGAAAAAGTAACGTGTAAATCAAATTATATTGATTGAAGAAAGGGAATTCTATCATGGAAATGAAGCTATTATGTGTATTAATATGTCATTTCATATTTCAGTATGTAATGTTCTGAGCATATGTATGCGCGTGTGTATGTATGCGTGCCCCACATCCCGATGCATCACATCTGCCAGATTCCATGTTCAGAAGATAAACTGTATGTGTGTCTTCCCCTCCTTTCTATTTATATCTGGCAACCTCTCTCCAGTTTACTCTCCTCTATCTGGTCTTCCATGGACAAACACATTTCTGACATTTAGTCCAATTAGAATAATGGTTACCTACTATCTCTATTCACTACAGTAGTTTTCCTTTTCATCACGGACTGACTGATTCTTCTTACTCCCACAATCTTCCCATGTTCCCTTACAACCAAGCGAGACGCAAAAGGCCTTTTCAGGCATGCAGGGAGTGGGGGGGGGTGAATTAAAATTTCAATAAACAAGAGACAAATGACAAGAGGGCCAAAGCTGAGGCAGTCGCACTAGGCAATAAGTTGCAGATGCAGGATGAAGAAGAACAGATATGTAATATTGCAAATGTTTTTGACGATATAATAAGGTTGCAGACTGAATAAAAACAGGATAACATCACCAAGCAAGCGCAATCCAGATAGCGAGGAGGAATAAAGAGGGATAGGCGGAGACAAAAGACTGTTAGTATTGTTACACCATGGAAAAGCCACTATAAACTCTGTAGAAATGCTGTCTAATCCTCAGTCACTTGCTGCAAGATTCCTCGGCTTTTAACGGTTGCGTGGCCAAGTCTGCAGCTCAGCTCTGTTCGGGACTGGGAGCTCTCTCTTTCTGTCTCTAGAGGATGGGATTACCCTGGGGGGGGGATTCCTGACAGATCCCGAACAAGTGTGAAAAGCCTATCAGAGACCTGTGAAAACTGTAGCCTGCATGGCTCCACAGGGACAAAGTGTTGCTGTCCACTCTCTCTCTCTCTTTGACCTTTCCACTCTCCTTCATTTCTTCTCACTTCCTCTCTCATCATGCTCCCCCATATTTCACCCTTCTCCTTCCTGACTCAAATCTGCTCCTGTGCACACCTTAACCAGTCCAATAAAGGTCGTAGGTTCAGATTAATCAAAGTGTGTGTGTGTGTGTGCCATGTTTTCTTTCTCTCTCTCCAACACACTCAAACATACCCTGTAGTCTGTAATTAAGTGTATTACTCAAACTTCCTCTCAATCATATACCACAGGATAGAAAGGAAGAAAGAGACGTTTCCTGGCTTTCTGATGTCCAGGCTGGTAACTTCCTTTTCATATACTCACACACACACACACACACACACACACACACACACGCACACTCATACACACACATACACACACTCATACACACACACATACACACACACATACACACACTCACACACACGCACACACACTCACACACACACTCACACATACACACATACACATACACACACACACGCACACACATACACACACTCACACACACACACACATACACACACGCACACACACATACACACACACACACACACTCACACACACATACACACACTCACACACACATACACACACGCACACACACACACACACACACACACGCACACACTCACACACATTCACACACATACACACACACTCACACACACACACACGCACACACACGCACACACACACCTTCACACTCCTTTAGTGCTTTCTTTCTTCTAGGAAGCAGGGTTTTTAAACAATGATGGGTGTAGGGCCCAGATCACTTTACGTTTTTCATTATTCTGCTGTAAAAACAGGAATCTGTCCCTGCATCTAAACACCAAATTACCTGATGAATATCACACCTTATCAGAGCTTAAACAACCTCCTATACTATCTATTTCATTATTACTATATATGTCTTTGCCCATGATTCATAGATGTATCTCCATATCTATCCACCCCAATGCAGTAACCCTCTATCAGACTCAATTGAGGGCCACTTGCTGCCCCCTGGTGTCCATCATGTGTTCACACTCATCCTCTCTACTGTAATAATAAGTACAACTCACAGCGTTATGTTTGAGTCACATTTATTCTTTCCAGGGAGGTTTGTCTTTGCTTTGAATGTGTTACAAAATACATGAACAGAAAAAAAGAATTGAACAATGACAGGTGCTGAAATGGACTTAAACTCTCCAGATGTTCACATTGCAATAAATACTGTTAGGAATGGATTGATTGGACATTGCAGACAAATACACACACACCCAACATGTACTGCTCTAGTGACTATCATTTAATGTGTGAGAGTGAGAATGTGAAGTCCATGACAGGATGTCCTTTTCTCCTGTCCGAACTGTTTCCTCCCTGGAGCTTTTTTGGGGTTTTGCAGAGTGGACGTCCTTGTGCAGAGGGCGTGTTCACTTCTTCGTGGGCTTGTCGTTGAACTCCAGGAAGAAGTCGTTACAGGCCACGGTAAGAGCTCCGACCAGGATGATGAACTCAGTGAAATCTACCTCTCCGTCATTGTTGGAATCCAGGTCTCCCATTACCCTATCCACTGCCTCCTTATCCTGGGCGTTCTGCAGGAGAGAAAACAGAAATGAGGGGCTGAATCTATTTAACACACGAGTAACTTTGCATCTAGTTTTCCTCACTATCTCCTCTCTTACCCCGAGGTAGTTGCCGAGCTCTGTGGTGAGCATCTCTTTGAGCTCAGCCCTGCTCAGTGTGTATTTGTCCCCCTCGTTTCCAGAGTACTTATGGAAGGTCTGGATCAAGAGCTGCATGGCGTTCTCCAGGGTGGAGGTGTTCTCTGAGTTGGGCAAAGACATTCTGGAGAAGGACAGAAAAGAAGGAGGGTTAGAGAAGGCGAGAGCAAGCAAAGTCCTCCCATAATAAACTATTTGTAGCATGGAGGAAAAGCGTGCTGGAATCAATTAAAATGCTTTTTTGGTTGCTCTCTGTCTCTCTTTGTCTCTTTATCCCTTCTAAGACACACTGCTAGACTGATAGATTCATGGAGAAGGACACAAAGAATCATAAGCTACAATACGTTTACTGCTAGAAAACAGATCCATTATGAGTTCAATCTATCTGGATAAAGCAGAGGTGGAGAGTCTGAAACCCTGCACAGCCTTGGAGGCAATTCGTTCCGTTTCCTCATCAAAAGTGTTTCCTCCCTGACAGTTGTCCTGATAAGATTCTGCTAGAGATTAAACTGATCCTCAATCTGTTTGTTGCTTTGCCCCTGCCAGAGGATCTCTGGGAGTCAGAACATAGACAGCAGTCGGACATGTGAGCCAGCTGATAAGAGTGAAACTCTAAGCTGGCGAAACAGCCCAACCAGTGGAGGAGATGTAACCAGGACACGCAGAGGGAACCTGATCCGGATTTTACTTTAGCTCCACCGGACGACAGAAAGAAAACAAAGACAGGTGTAAGTCTTTGCCTTTCCTGAACCTTCCTCACCTCTCAACTGTAAAATAGTTTTCCTAACTGTCACTCACATCCTACATCAGTTTCTCAATGTGGACACAATGTTCCAAAGTGTCACGGATCAACAGAATAACAAAAACGTATCAGTTTTGGTAAGCTCTGTTCAAGATACACAAAGGATTCATATCTTATCCTAAAAACACAGAAAGCATCTTTGTTGATGATTTGAAGTACATCCAACAAGCAGTTCACCTACAGATAGCATCGTGTATTGGATGCACCCTCAAAAATCGACTTTAAGAGTAAAAATCGTAAGAAATAACGAAACAGAGACAGTTACATAAATTCTTACCTGAATGGAGGGCGAGTGATGGCCTGCAGGTCAGGTGCAGAGAGAAGGCAAGAGCGAGTGATGAGGAGGATGAGCAGGACAACGTCTTAAATACATCACTCACTCCACCCATCCCACCTATCCCTTCCTCCTCTCTCCCTCTCCCTCCTTGCACCTGTCGCCCCCCCTTCCCCCTCCCCTCCTTCTTCTCTCCTCCTTCTCTGTTTACGCATAAGACACCTGCTATCCCCTAAACTGACACAGGAAAGATCCACCTGCCCCCCTCGAGAAAGAAAATAAATGGTACTATGACTACACCATTAGCTAAATTGAAGTACCCATAATAAAAACACAATTGTGTAATTCACATCTAGACTCTTTATTGTATGGTAAGATAGAAGTGTAAATTGAGTTTGTGACTGATACAGTATCCAAAGGATTATTGTAGCACAGATGAATGGAGCCATCACACCTGGCAGCCATGCAGAGAAATCCCCATACAAAGACCGCAAAACACACACAAAGGAAAAGAACATGCTAATACACACACGCGCACACATGCAGGCACACTCACACATGAAAACACACACACATTTAAAAAAAACAAAACACAGACACACCTAAACCTCTAAAACATGCAAGCAGTACAATGGATACAGAGAGAGCCAAAGGGCTTTGCATGAAAAGTAAATAAATGACATAAGAAAACATGTGATCATGTGTACAGTTGAATGAATGTTCTTGAAGCTCATATTCTCTAAAGCAAACAACATCAACATTAATGCACGACCACTGCAGGATGTCATGAAATGTATGTTTGATCAGCCTTGGGGGTAAGTGCATCTTCGTGTTAGTGTGCCGTCGCAGCAGTATATTGTGTCAGTGAATGGTGGCGGCACAGTTTGTATGCATGTCTGTATGCGCCATATGTGTGTATGTATAGTGTTGCAGAGTGGAGGATGGTGAACAATAGGAAGCGAATACTGTGTTCCAGGATCTGGTTGCAATAGTTGATGCATCTAAAGGCTGCTGAGTTTGACTAGTCAGGTATGTCACAGCTATATTTAGCAAGCGTTGCTGGTAGCTATGGAAGGAGCAGGTATCATTACAGCGGGGCCTGCGGGACAATGTCAAACCATATCAGGGAAACCACGAGACACATAGCTTATTCTGTTGGGTTTCCCAGCAGTATTTTATATTGGAAGTCAATGGGTACCGTCATCACTTAAAGGGGACCTATCATGCAAAATGCACGTCTTTTATACATGAATATGTGTCCCCGGTGTGTCAGGGAACTCACCAAGTGTCAGAAAACACAACCCTCTCTCTTTTCCTCCATACCCAAATCTCTAAAAACGGGGCTGCAACGGATCTGATACAGACTGATCCAGATTTGAACATTCCTCTGACGTCAGGACGGCGGAGCTGACCTATCAGGGGAATGAGAGGTTACCGTGGCATGGTAACAGCATGGTAACACGACGCTCGTAACTCGACCCCCTCCTTTGCAGGGGGGGCGTGGTCAGATGCAGCGCATGCAAAGACAGGGTGGAGGACAGCAAAATAGAGCGAAATGAGGCATGGTTAAAATGCATGATCTGTTTGGTATTTTGAAAAAGAAAACGTATAAATATACCTTATATAGGTATGGCCCTACAATATATTATTCAAATATAGCATGATAGGTCCACTTTAAACGATTAAATGAAAATGCAACTTAAGAAAGACTCTGAGACAGATAATATAGTTTCATCGTATAAAGCTTTTATTCTGAAAACACAGTGAGTATCTGGTATATAATTGGTATAAAAAAGACACTCCCATCTTAGAGTCCTTCAATGTGTCCTTGACAGTGGAGATCAATATGGTGTGAATGAAAAAAGGCTGATCTGGACATTAAGAGCATTACACAACTGGTTGATTAACTGAATAAAAAGTATGGACTGTTTTGAAAAAATGTATATCTGATGTTTAGCATTTAGAAATCTAAAAAATATACTTAAAAATCCCCAAAAATAAATGCTACTCCCACAAACACTGTGGTTTAACATCTATGATGCATCTGCAGTGGCTCCAGTCTTGCTCGCACTGAGGGAGGAGGCCAGGTAGCCAATCAGAGTGAGGTATTCCTGGAAGCTGACCTTTCCATCATTGTTCGCATCCAATCCGGACTGCATCTCCTTAACGGCAGAGGAGCAGTTGGTATCCTGCACACAAAATGAAAGACAGAATAAGATCTTTGAAAAACAATCATATATTCTGATGAATAATCTGTACAGCAAAGAGTGTTGTCGAAAAGGCTAAACCTTCTTTAGTTCCTTACCTGCATTAGGCCACCAAGCTGCTTCTTTACCAGGTTCTGGAAGCCGCCTCCGTTTAGGTCCTCCTTCCCCTTGGTAGATTTTAGAAACGTGGTGACCACAGTCTTTATGGCTGACTCCATATCTAAAGAGAGAGAGACAAGGACACACAGTGAAGAATTGAGTAAGGGAAGTGGCAAAGAGAGATACTGCCATATCTTAGACACTCCGACATCATGCCATTGGCTACAGTTCCTAGGTATTTTATTAATATGAAAACATATTTACATGGGGGTCTAAGGAGGATAAAAGGCTTATTGTTAGTTATTAAGTCAGGGAAGAGAGCACAGCATGACCTTGGAATCCTTGTGCACAGATCAAGATAAGAGACTCCTAATTAACTCTGTTATATATTACAAAGTACTAAGATCAAGTCATTTTACAGCATTCCACTTCATGTTGCATGTGTGATATGATTAGAAAAATACTGAAATAAAATGTAATGATTTCAGTTAAAAAACAACTTATAGTTCTGCAAAAAAACAGTTGTAATCAGCAAAGCAAACCTGGCTGAAATGCCTTACATCAGGTTGAGACACTGAAGTGTAATTCTTCTACTTCTAATGTCTTTATCAGAGCATAAACATGGGAGAAAGGTGAGACACACAAGTGATGTCAGCATAGAAAAATAGGGACAAGGGGGGTTGCAGACCCTGGAGGATCTTGAGGTAAACAGAGCGAGAGAGAAGGGGTGATGGAAGGTTGAAGAGGAGGGGAGTCTCTGAGGTAAACACAATGGGAGCTGTGATCTCTGACGGTGGACATCTGATCCCCAGAAGCCAGCGTGAGGCCACAGCTTCAGATTACTGCCTGCTGCCCGTCTGCTGCTGCTGCACACCGCCCTTAAAACTGTACGAATACACTGCTTACTGTGCTCAAATATGAACATAACACAGTACCAAAAGATTAAACTAGCCTGAAACATCTAATGCTGCTGTTATTGAGAGGGTCTCCGAGTCATTTGAAGCTAAACCATCATCTGAACATGAGACAAACTGTTTTAAGATTGGTTATTTCCACTCACTGCATATTCCTAGTTTGACCTTTGACATAGACAATGGAAACACATGTATGCTTTCATAGGATTTTAAATCTTGTATCAAAACAGTGGAACACAAAGTGACACAAGTGAATTTGCATACTGAAACCACGGATTAACTTGTTTCCTGAATGAGCTTGTTGATTAACTTTAGGCCTTTCCACAGAACACGTGTTGACATGTCACAGTAGGAAAAGCACAGGTGTAAATAATAAAACTAATGATGGCCCTGTTCCATTTAGCCACTTTGGTTTCAAGCTCCTAGTATTGTGCACGGCGGCTCTCTGTTACAACGTCACGGCTCACTGGGACACCTGAATAGAACAGAACCATCCGTAATGTCATTGGCAACACCTGTACTTTTGCTACTATGACAAGTTAAGATGTCTGCGGTGAAAAAGGTCTGCTGTCCCACGATGCAGTGCAAGAAGAAAATAGAGGAACTACTCACAGCTGCAACAAAAGTATATATATATACATTTGTGGTGGTGATGAGAGAGCTACATAAAGAACGTAAAGCATTGAACAGATACAAATACATTTAGTTCTGAAATGGAAAAATGATAAAATGAATTGTGTACTAACTGCAAAAACAGAGTATTATGGACATTTTTTCGATATATTTTTGTTTGTTTTGTTTACAGCAGGTACGTATTACTGAAGTAGGAATCACAGCTGCGGTGTGACAATAATATCTCACTTTCACTTTGTCTTTTCTGTTCCCATTTATCTTTCTGTTGTCTCAACAAACAACATTTCTAAGGCAACTGCTCACAGAATATAAAGAGGGCCTGAATGAATGCTGCAGATACTTGAGTAGAGTTGATAAGTATCGCAGCAGTGGGGAGCGAGGCCTTCCTGCAGGGTTTCCACTGAGTATCGGAAACTACCTGGAGGCAGCGGCGGCCACAGGATGGGTAATGATGAGGGGGGGGGA